AACTCCAGTTCCAGGGGATCGACAGCCTCTTCTGTCCTCCGTGGGCATTGCATGACACTGGTGCACTTACCTACATGCAGGCATAACATTCATACACATAAAATAAAAATAATTATAAAAATATATAAATAAAAACAATTTAAAAACAAAAAACAATTACAAATGCATGAGATCCACATCATTACCAAATTTTTAAATTCCAGTTCTAGTTGTTCTGTAAGAGTGTAAAAGTCACAAATTCATAGTCCTGTTTATAAGCACTGCCACTTCAAAACAGAAGCTTGAACTCCTGGCTTATAAAATACCACACCAGAGTCTTACACCACTGGAACGGTCCCCGGAGATCTGGAGTTAGGTTTTGGTCTTGTTTACTAACAGCAGCAGAGACCCTGGGTCGGTGACTTTATTTCCCTAACATCTGGATATTCTTGGTTGCTGGAGCCAAGCCGTTGACCTAACAATGTCAGGTGCTCAGCTACTCTCTTTCTCCCTTCCCTTTCCCACTTTCTCTTTCCTCCCCTGACCTCTAATTTGCTGCCCCCACCTCTCCTTCAGTCCAGTGGTTCCAGGATTTTTTGAAAACACTCAAGTCCAGTGTGGTGGTGCACACTGTTAATCCCAGCACTTAGGAAGCAGAGGCAGGCAGATCTCTGTGAGGAGATCAGGAGGCCAGCCTGGTTTACATAGTGAATTCCAAGCCAGCTGGGGCTACAGGGAGACTTGTCTCAAAACAAAACAGAACAACATAAAAAAAAGCCACTATTAAAAATAGAAGTAAATCCCCAACATGACAACAGCCTTTGCCTCTCTAACCTTCTTTCAAAGGCTACAGTCACGCTTACAAACCTGTCGCCCTGTACTCCACCCTGTCTGTGGTGTAATGGTCACACATTCACCAACTTTCTTCAGTCATCAAGTCTTATATCCCACCTTCTAACTCATAAAACCTCCCACGTTCACCCCTGAGTCTTTTTCCATTTCTGTTGTCATTGCTCCGTCAACTCTGCTCTGTGATCTGCACTGAACATCACAGGGAAGTCTGTTTGTGCTCCTCCCTAGCCCTTCCGTCTGAGTCAGACTGGGGCCCAGCCACACCTGCGTTCACATCTGCTCTGCTCTCTAACTTTTCCATTCGTCTCGATCTAGTTCTATGGCACTGAAGGAGTACATTATAGAGCTGTTTTCTTTAAAATATGTAATTATTTTCTTTAAAAAAATTTATGCATAGGAGTGTATTGCCTGCATGTATGAGGAGAGAGAGAGAGAGAGAGAGAGACAGAGACAGAGACAGAGACAGAGACAGAGACAGAGACTGTGCATATATAAAGCTTGAGATAAGACAGCAAGCAAAAACAACAGGAAAGCCTGGTAGATGAAAATACAAGCCTCAAGCCAGAGAAAGAGTGGGAGGTTTAACAGAGGGAGTGGTCTCCATCTAGGGGGTATTAAAGTCTTGGATGAGATCATCTGGGGTATGAATATGATGAGAGAAAAGAGACTGCTGAGTGAGAAAATAAATAACGAAAGCCAAGTGTGGTAATACATGCTTTCATTCCCAGAACTCAAGAAGTCGAGGCAGGAGGATTCGAGTTCAAGAGCAGCCTGTGCCACAAAGCAAGAGCCTTTCCCACAGGGAGAAAGAAATCTAAAGCTGAACATGATTAAGTAAAAATACAGACTTGCATCCAAATACATTTTCAATAAATGCCCATTTTAACAAATAAAAATGAATTTTAATGTATTTTCCACAGGCCTTTAATGGAATAAAATTTCCATTTAGGACACCTCCCCCAAGTTCTTACATATTTGGGCATTAAAATTTGCTTCAGGTCTCTGGACTGTATTATTCTAGGGATCCTTCACAGAAAACAAGTTGGTTTTTGTTTTTTTGAAAACTCAACTAACCTGGTGTTCAAACCTTTAAGAATTGTACATTCACATTAGATCTTCTCTTCAAAGATTCTGCCCAAAGACACAACTTTTCCCATCCTTATCAATGAAAACACAATATATTTTACTACAGATGTTGTTTCATCCTGAAAGATGAAATTGGCACTTTCAATCAGTTCAAGTCACATGAGAGATGTAAAATGCTCAAAGGTCAAGGATTAATTTTAAAATGTTAAAAACAAGTAAGCAAGTAAGTGTACCTTCAAGGCCATCCAAAAACGATAAGCAGGGAGATGAAAACGATAGAACCACCAAGAAAATAAGTAAACATAAATTATCTCTCTGGGTATCGGCTGACACAAAGCCCATTATGCTCTCAAGGCTTATGCTACTGCTGAGAACTACCAAATTGGAATCGCAGCTGTAAACATAACTGGGATGCTTTATACTTTTCCAAAATTCCCAATGTGACACTAGGGATGGTGCATAAGAAGCCTGCAACATTTGCCAAAAAATGTTCCTTCCCTTGGTTGTTCAAGTTAGATCAAAACTGTAATTAGTTTTAAGATCTTAAGCCTCATCTTATAAAATTCTTCTAAGATATGGAATGGAGAGGCATGTCATATCGCAGAGTTTAAGAATTTGTTAATCCACCTGATGATACAGCTATCTAGAAGGCTACCAGCAAGGTCACACATATGGAGTATGAGGAGCGTTCATCTCTTCATTCACCAAGCAAATATTAAGTACCTACAGTGGCCAGGTGTAGTACTAGGCCCTGAGGATACTTCAGGGAATAACATTCATGCTCATGAGTTAATGAAGGAGCAAGATAATCAACCAATCAGTATTCCCAGGAGGTGACCCATAAAGCAGCATATGAAAGGCAGGGGTAATGTGCATTTTGCAGAGTGGTCAGAGAAAACCTGAAGACTAAAGTTAGGAAGCCAATCCTGATATCTACGGGACCTGTAGACAGACAGGAAACATAAACACAGAGACTAGTATGTGACCGAAGTTGTTTTTTTTTTTGTCTTTTTGAGACAGGGTCTCTCTGTGGCCCCAGCTGGCCTGGAACTCCCTATGTAGACCAGGCTGGCCTCAAACTCACAGCCCCAGCTGGCCTGGACCCCCCTATATAGACCAGGCTGGCCTCAAACTCACAGAGATCCCCTTGCCTCTGCCTCCCAAGTGCTGAGATTGAAAGCGTGCACCATCACGCCTGGCTATAACTGAACAGTGGTTAACAGCACTGACTGATCTTGCAGAGGACCCAGGTTTGAGTCCCAGCACCCACATGGTAACTACAAACCGTCCTTAACTCCAGTTCCAAGGGAATCCGACACCCTCTTTTGACCGCCACACTGCACGACACGGGTGCACTCATATACATGCAGACAATACACTCATACACATAAAATAAAAATAGTAAATAAACAGACTTGTTTATTTTAATTTGTTTGGTCTTTTTTTTTTTTAAGAGTATGAGTGTATTGCCTGCATGTATGAGAGTGCACCTGTGTCATGCAATGCCGCAGAGGTCACAAGAGGGTTTCGGATTCCCCTGAAACTGGAGTTAAGGACAGTTGGTAGCCACCATCTGGGTGCTGGGAATCGAACCTGGGTCCTCTGCAAGAGCAGTCAGTGTTCTTAACTGCTGAGCCATCTCTCCAGCCCCATGTTTGATCTTTTTTGGGACAGGGTCCCCCTGTAGCCTCTGCTGGCCTGGAGCTCCCTATGAGCAGTTCAAGGCTGGTCTTGAACTCAGAGAGATCCGCCTGTCTCTGCCTCCCAAGTGCTGGGATTAAAGGCTTGCACCACCACACCTGACAATAAAAAGACATCAGAGATTGGTTTCGTAAGCTTGAAAGTCAGAACTGGGAGACAGGTAGTGTGGTAGATCACAGTGAGGACTTGAGATTTTACTTTAAGATGAGAAGTTATTAGAGTGCTGCAAACAGAGAAATGGCACAACCTGGCTTATTTCAGGGATCATAAAGGGAACCCAAGACATCTCTCACAATCTATTTCTAAATGAATGGGGGAAAAAGGCATACAATAAAAGTCATATAGTCTGGTAGCACTTTTAGAGAAAAAAATACACATACACATGGGAACAAAAGACTGCAAAGGTAAACGCCAAACTGAAGCTTACTAATGTTTATGGGATTATAAGGGATTTTTTTTCTTTATGCTTTTATCATGAAAGTTTTTTGCCTTAAACATGAATGAGAGAGAGAGAGAGAGAGAGAGAGAGAGAGAGACCAACCACATCAAAGACTGTCCTAGTCTGAAATCTTACTTCAATGTGGAAAAAAAAAAAAGACACATTTTTTCCAAATAATTACCACACTTCATGCAGTGTTTGCCTCTCATGAACCACTGCACCAATCAAGCATGGCCCAATGTATCAAGGTCACAAACCAACTTGGTTAATATGTTTATCATTACAGAGCAGCTCTGTCCTTTAAAGCAACTTTGATACCATCTTTCCAAGGCAGAAATAGAGGGCCTTCTCGCTCATTTCCTAAGTCTCTTTGATACCCCTTTGCTGCTTCTGGATTTTTCCACTGTATGTCTCTTAGAAACAAATTAAGCCCGAATAAGTTGTTCCAGCTAATGAAGTGCGCTTTTGGCTCTTTTCTCTGGAGCTGAGAATTATCCGGCAAACTACCAATTGTTTTAGAACACATTTTCTCTTAGTTTTGAAATACTGCAATACTAAGTTACCACAAATAAAAAAATTGAGATAACAACATATGAGAACATGTATATAAATGGAAACTGCCGTAATCCTTTTTTTTAATTAAAAAAAATGTGTGGATGCCTCATGAATAAACATGTTAGGCTATCTAGACATATATAAGTGCATGCCACCAATAAAAAACAGAAAGAAGCATGTCTACCTAACCCCCTTCCCCCAGTCACATAACAGTTTCTCATAGGGCACAAGCCCAGGGCAATCACTGCTCAGAAATGCAAACCACGCAACTCAAAGTGACTCAAGCTCTCCAACACTTTCCACCTAAGCCCCACATTCCGGCCACTCCTCAATAAACTTCCAACAGGTTGCTCTGAATGAAAATCCCCAAACCCCAAATTCTGCTCACACGCGAATCGGGGCCTCCGGAAGCCCGGGCCCACAGGGAGTATCTCTGCGTGGGGATGGGGGCGTCCACCGCACTCTCCACAGGTTCGAGTCCCGGCTCCACTGCTTTATCCCAGCTGCAAGGGCTGCGGGTACACGAAGCGTGCAGAGCCGCCAAAGGCTCTCGGACACGCGCGCCCGCAGCCAGGCGCGCCCCCGCCGGCCCGCCTCGCCTTGCACCTCCTGCTCCGGCTCCCTTTGGAGCCGAATGGCGCGGGACCACCCTGACCCCAGGACCCCGGGGCGCTGAGCTGCGGCGGGCGTGATGACAGATGGGGAGGGCGGGGCCTCGAGGGGAAGGGGCGGGGCCTCTCGCATGGGGGTGCTGGCGGCTGACAGAGCCCCGGCAGCGGGCGGCGCGGCGGACAGAGCTTGTGGGCCCGACAGGAGCCGGGCCTGATGGGAAGCAGCTCGCGCAGACCCGGGGGCTGACAGGCGAGGAGACACATAGACGCCAGCGACTGACAGCCGCGGGGGCGGCGGGCCGTGGCGGGCGCTCACCTGGCAGCAGCGGCGGCGGCGGCACCCGCAGCCGGGCCGCTCTCCGCGC